GGGGGGGGGGTTTTGCCACGCACCAAAATCTGGTAGAGAAAGTATTGGATAAACTGCTTCTCGAGCGGCCTCGAGGTCAGCAGACGGTGGAGATCGGTTCCCAGCAGCTCGGTGACGAAGTAACTGAATTGGTTAGCGTTTGGTAGGCGGAGTTGTGGTGCATGGCAATGCGTACATGTCCTCGAGCGGAGAGATGAAGATGTCGCTCAGGCTGATGATCTGGGTATGGTCAGAGAGTGATTCCAAAGGCTGGTGGCGGAATTGCCCACATTCTCATGCCTAAGGTGCTTCAGGAGCTTGAGCTCTCGGTATGTTCGCTTCGACAGAACCGGGGTGCTGAAGGGCTTCATAATCTTCTTGACAGCCACTGCCTGGTTCGTGAGCTGGTCCTTTGCTGAACTGCGGCCAAAGTCAGTGGCGGGCTAGTGGCCAAGCGTGTCGGGGCCCTACCAAACGAGACCGAATGCGCCCATTCCCACAGGCTGCAGGTCAGTGTACCTGTCGAGGTGTTAGCGGCGCCAGCTGAGGGCAAGGTGGGGTGCACGCCGCACCTGCTCGTAATCTCAAAAGTGGTGCCGAAAATCTGGGCGCGTACGAATTCCGCCATGGTGAATTGTGGTGTGTGCGGGTTGCGACAGGCGCAGGGTGGAGGCGTGGAGGGGAGTGGGTTGTTTTGGTCTTGACTGGAGCGTGGTAGCTGGCAAGAGCAGGCTGAAAGGCCGTGGGGTAGTCGCGAACCGATGGGGGGTGGGGATTCTCGTCTAGGCGCGCGTGGACGGTGCCAGAGGGAAGCAGATTTTACTGGACTCGGAGGGGCTAGGTCGGCGTGTGAGCGAGGGCAGAGATTTTGCACCAGGGTGTGGACGACGGGCGAAAAGGACGGTGTCGTCTCTGGTTGCCGCTTTGAGGCGAGAGGCAGCGGGTCGGCGAGGACAGCAGTGGCGCCGATGAGGTTACCTAGGCGTAGGGGCAGCACACACAGGGATGGAGGGGTCGGGCGACGAAGGTGGCAAGCGGATGGAGAGAGAGGGGCGAGAGAGAGGTGAGAGTGAGAAAGAGGACAGGGAAAGCGTCGAGGGCGACGAGGGGCAGACAGCAAATGCGATGGAGGGATGCGTGGCCCGGGCTCTAGACGTCTCTCACGCAGGTTTCGGTTTGTTCAAGAGTGACGTCACGATGGTCTTTGGGAGTTTTCGATCAGAGCCCGTGCATCACGACGAGGGCAGAGTTTCCTTGGATGATGGCAATTGGGGGCGCAGCGCGGCGGCGGGGGCTTTTTGGTGGGAGCCGGGCGGCGTGGACTGGCGGCGAGTGTTTGTTGTGGTTGCAGTTGTGCTGTGGACGCTCTCGCCCCCCACCATGGGCGGGCGTGTCGAGGGCTTGGGCGAGGGCAGAAGCGCAGTCGGCATCCACGCCCATGGGCAGCGGCCGTCATTCTTGGCCGCTCCCCTCACTGCACGTGGCGGGGGGCTCGTGCGCGCGAGGACTGGCCCTCTGCTCGCCCTCGCGCTGCCTGCGCAGTCCGAGTCGTCGGCCACGCGCTGCGGCGACGGCGACGGCGACGAGGGCGATGGTGAGAGCAGATGACGGGCGGCAGGTCGCGGTGGATGCTGGCGCTGGCAAAGTTGCTCCTCTGGGCAGCGGGTGGTGGCAAGTAATGGGCGCGCATGGCTACACGCACACGCACCCTGGCAGCAGCTGCAGCGGCTAGGCGAGCCTGTTGTCACGTCGACGTACCCTCAGGCAACCCCTGCGGCTATGACGGCAGCAGCAGCATGCGGCATTGCTTCACGCTGCCAATGTGTATATACTGCATGTACGTGTGTGTGTGTGTAGGTAAGCATGAGGCATGAGGCAGAGGCATGAGCGACAACGTGGGAACGGCAGCTGACAGACGTCGTGTTCCCGGGGCCGTTGCAAGCCATGGGCGCTCGCAATGTTTCGTAGCTACGCGTCATTATGCACGACATGGCAGGCGGCGGCGGCGGCGGGCGTGGGCTATACGCGGTAGTTGAGCAGACGGGGCGTGGATAGGGCAGGGCAGGGCAGAGTAGACACTTACTGTGGTGGTAGGGCAAGGGAGGGGGGAGCGGGCGGGCGAGGGCGCGAGGGTACCGCCCAAGTGGCATACACAGGCATAGGCCCTAGCGTCTCACAACGCGAGCCTGCTGGCGCGCAGCGAATGAGGGCGCGCATTCCCGCCGCGGTCCTTAATAATAGACATGGGGCCTCTCCCACTATTACCGCGAGCCCGAGTCGCCAGCCAGCCTCGACGGGGCATCGCGCAGAGAGAGAGACACACACACACGCGCGCGCGCTGCTGGCTGCCGGCACCAGAGCCAGCGCCAGTGCCAGAGCCAGCGCCAGTGCGGCGGCAGGGGCCGCGATATCAAGGGGATGCGATGCGATGCGATGCGATGCGATGCAGTGCCGCGCGACATCTCATCTTGAAGCCAAACGCCCGCGCGCCCGCCCGCGCCCGCAATCTGCTGTGCCAATCGCAGCTGCTCCATGCCACGAGTGAGGATGCCGCATGCGGCCTCGAGGCTGTCGCTCTCTCTCTCTGTCTCTGTGTCTGTCTGTATCTGCCCGTGTCTCTGTGTCTCTGCCTCTCTCTGCCTTTCCCCCCTCCTCAGCCCACCACTGCCACCCGCCCCGCTGTCCTGCCCTCTGCCTGCCTGCTCTGCTCTGCTCTGCTCTGCTCTGCCCGCCGCCGCCGCTGCATCCCTCTGCCGGGCCTGTGCCATTCTGGCCTGCCATCCCCGGTTGAATGAGGCTTAGCAGCTTGCGCCTGCCGCCGCCGCCGCCGCCGCCGCCGCCATCGCCATCGCCATCAGCACCAGCACCAGCGCACCATCACTACCATCACCGCCATCACCACCGCACCCTCACCTTGCCTCGCCCCTCGCCCTCGGCCCCCCGGTGCTTTGGACGCCTCGCTTGCATCCACACCGCCCACGGCCCAGCAGCAGTAGTGCCCTGCACCCCCCGTCTGCCGTCACGAGGCTTGCCGCCTGTCAACTGCGCCGTTTGCAGTGCCCGGCGACGTTGCAGGCTTCGCCGACTCCAGATCCCGCGCCTTCCTCGTCAACTTGCTGGGGAAGGCTCCCTCCGCACGAGCCACAGACCAGCCCTGGAGTCTCCGATCTAGCTCGTCGACACCACCCTACCAACCATACACCACCACCACCACCATCACCGCCCACAGCGCCATTCACCACCCCCAAGTCGTCGCGCCGCCCCCAAAGGCCCCGACCCGCCGCCCGCCTGCCCGACACCACCCTGGCGCCCGCCTGCCCTGCCCTCCGCCCACGTTGCGAGGCCCCCTTTGACGGGTCCTGCGTGTGCGTGTCGGACTGACCCGACCCCAAGCCGCACCCACAGCTCTCGCCAGCAACCCCAACGCGCAGAGAGCCCACCCCTCGCCATCCGCTCCCGCTCCCCTCCCCAAACGCCCCCGCCCACGCCCCTTGCTGCTGCAAAGCGTCGTGCTCGCGACGCGCTGAGCACAAGTGCGAGGCCCCCCCCCATTGTTCCGCGCCCGACTTCCGCCATCGCCGTCGCCTGCGGCCGCGAGCCGCACCCTGAGACGCCCGCCATGGGTATCTGCATGAGCACAAACAACGACGATGTCGAGCAGAAGAAGCGCAGCCAGGCCATCGACCGCAAGCTTGAGGAGGACTCGCGCAGGCTACGGCGAGAATGCAAGATCCTACTGCTGGGTGAGTAGCCAAGCCGCGGCCCGCCCGCCCGCCTGCCTGCCTGCCTGCCTGCCTACCAACCTACCTACCTGCCTTTGCTGGCCCGCAGTCTGGCTTTGCTGCTCCCGCGCTAACCCGCCCTACAGGTTCCGGAGAGAGTGGCAAGTCGACCATAGTCAAGCAAATGAAGATAATACATCAAAATGGCTACACGCAGGAGGAGCTGGCCATGTACCGCCTGACCATCTACAAGAACGTCATCGACTGCGCAAAAGCCCTCATTGGCGCCATGCGACAATTCGACATTGTCTGCGAAATTCCCGACAATGCCGACTTGTGCGACTATCTAGCCAACTACACCGTCGACCCCGACCCCGAAAAGCCCCTCGACGTGAGGGTGGGCCAGGCCATTACGTCCATGTGGCGCGATCCTTGCATACCAAAAGTCCTGGAGCACTCGAGCGAATTCTACCTGATGGATTCGGCGCCCTAGTAGGTTTTTTTTTGCGCCTTTTTCTCCCCCCTTCCCAACATTGCCCTTGGCTGACGCCCGCAAGCTTCTTCGACGAGGTGGAACGGATATCTGACCCAAACTACGTTCCCATCGAGTCCGACGTCCTACGAGCGCGCACCAAGACGACGGGTATTTACGAAACACGATTTACAATGGGCCAGCTCAGCATCCAGTACGTGCGCGTCTTCAAACAAAGCCTCCCAGTGCTCGGACTAATGTGAAACAGCATGTTCGATGTCGGAGGCCAACGAAGCGAACGCAAGAAATGGATTCATTGTTTCGAAAACGTCACATCCATCATCTTCTGCGTAGCCTTGAGCGAATACGACCAAGTCCTGTTAGAGGAAAGCTCCCAAGTATGCCCTCGTCGGCCCTTGCCCTACTTTTCGCCGTGTGGTGTACTGACTCGCGGCCCTAGAATCGCATGATGGAGAGCTTGGTACTTTTTGACTCGGTTGTCAACAGTCGGTGGTTTATGAGAACGAGCATCATCCTCTTCCTCAACAAGGTCGATTTATTCAAGGCTAAACTGGCCCGCTCACCGCTCGGCAACTATTTTCCCGATTACTCTGGCGGAAACGACGTCAACCGCGCCGCAAAATATCTACTCTGGAGGTTTAACCAGGTGAACCGCGCACACCTGAACCTCTATCCTCAGTAAGAATGGCTTGCCCACTCTCTTTACTTTTTTTTTCTCTTGTCCCTAACCCATCACCCAGCCTTACGCAAGCCACCGACACTTCAAATATCCGACTCGTCTTCGCCGCCGTCAAGGAAACAATACTACAAAACGCGCTCAAAGACTCGGGCATACTATGATTGTCACACAGCATTACCCCCCTCGATCCTCGCCTGCGAGGCGTACGGCCTATGAGTGCTCCGTCTTCCATTTCCACACACCCGTTCCTCCGTCTACATTTACATAATAAACGAGCCCTTTACGATCATTACACCCGATCGTGTTACTCATGATGCACACTTGCGGCCACGAATTGGGATTTGGGAGATATCATTGCCTCTAGCTATTGACACATAGAGAGCGCAGCATTGGTGTTTTTGGCGTTGAAAGATTCCCTGGGCCTTTGTCCTTTGTTTTATCTGGGATGCGAAATGGGTTCATCACAAACCATCTCTTTGGGAGCAGGGCTGTTTGTGTCTCTTTTTTTTTCTCTCTCTCTGTTGTCCTTTTTTTTGCTCCTGTTTTCTTGCCTAGTCGACATTACCTCAACCACCCATCATCCTGATTTCTTTCCACTGTTAGCCTCAATGGATTGAGAAGAAAAAGTTGAATGGACATATCCACCGTGTCCCCCCCCCCCCCCCTTTGTTTCCCTTTTTTCTTCTCTGTGACCCGGGGTTTCGCCCGTCCGTCAGATTTGGGGGTGAGGAGGACTTGTTCTTGTTCTTTTTTCTTGTATGCTATATAGTCTCTCTCTTTTCCCACGATGTGTTGGCTGGTCTTTTCATCACACTCTATTCTTGTTTTTTTTTCTTTCTATATTCTCATTCACAGTCTCTCTCTCTCTCTTTATCGTCGTCGCAGGAAAGGAAAGGAAAGGAAAGGAAAGGAAAAAAAGGGGGCGGTGAAAGCACACATCTGGATATGTCGTGTAGTTTGTATTGTTTTGTTTGGTCGTGTTTTCTCTCTCTCTCTCTCCCTATCTCTCTCTTTTTGCCAACAACAGTTTACTTGTTTTTTTTGCTTCTCTTCTTCTTCTTCTTTCTTCCCCCAAACGTATTTATATAATATCCAGCCTCCTCCCTGTCGTCGTCGTCGTCATCATCGTCGTCGTCGCTGCTACCAAATCCGCCCCATTTTGCAAGCCAAAAATGGAATTGGTTTTTTATCGTGTTACGGTTTTTTCCTTTCTTTTCTTGATTTGTAACCGTTTCTCCTTTTCCATCTTTTTTTCTTTCTGATCTTCTTTTTGTTTTGGTTACTTTTCTTGTGTCTACACTTGTTTGTAAAGAAGAAGAAGATGCAGCAGCAGCATCATTGTTGTCATCGTTGTTGTTGTTGTCGTCGTCGTCGTCGTCGCCAAGTGCGTGCGTTTTCTAGCTTTCCCCCATCTCCCATATAATATATATAATGTACGGTCTAAGTAAAGCCTGTCAGTCAGTCGAGTCCTCCCCCCCACCTGCTTGCAGGGACACCCTCAGAGCTATTATAGTATCGGAAAAATGGAAATCTATCAATTCAATTCAATTGCAATAATGATAACTTGTGATGAGTTGAATACTTGGTGGTCTCAGTCCTAATATATATATGTGAGTGTGTGTGTGTGCAGACGAATCATCTTCCCCACCTCTTCTCTCTTCTCTTCTCCGTCTTGTTGATAAACACATCACTCAAGTTTATTGATTGATACATGGTATACGTGACATTGCATGTACATTCACCTGCGAATAACGTAGTAAGGCTGAGGGCAAAGACCACACAAGCTAAGAAGGCTCTTTTACTATATTAGCGTCTGTTTTCAGCGGTAACATGTGTGTCGCATGAAGATATGAAAAGGCGGTTTGTTGAATCAGGATACATACATACATACATACACACATACATGTATTTCTATGCGCATGTTACTTACATACATAGACCAGAGTGTTGGTCGTACTGGTGGTGTGTGCACCATCATCATCCATTTCATCTCATTAACCCAAGTCTGGAAATGGGAATTTGGCAAAATTACGTTCCCCCTCCCCCCCCCCCATTAGAAATTAACGGGAAAAAAAAGAGGCGAACATGACATAAAAGGGGGGGGGAAATCTTTTACAGTGTTAGCTAGTATACATAACTACTTGGTTAAAGAAAAAAAAAAGAAAAAAAAAGACAACCCCCCCCTCGAGCTTGAAAACGCATGACTGACTTAAACTTTTAAACCAAGTTAGACCTGGAACCTAAAGATTTGATTAGTTCGACCTACATAGACTAGGGGGGGGGGATTTGAATACTAGACTCAAGTTCAAACCTTGGGAATCAGGAAAGGAAAGGAAAGGAATGGGGCTAGAATGCTGCTACTGTAATTGTTTTTTTCTTCTTCTTCCCACTCCGCTGTCATGTTGTACGTTGATGTGCGTGGCGGTTGCGCGGAGCGGAGCAAAGCAAAGTAAAGCAAAGCAAAGCAGAGCACACGCCAAATGTCCGCGTCCATGCCAATGTGCAATACCAATGTGCAATAGTATGTAGAAGTCTATTGGATATACTTGTATGCGGTGTACTCTAGCGCACTTTTTTTTTCTTCTTCTTCTTAGCACCTCCCTTCCTATTTCCCTCTTCCATTTTCACATTCACATTCCCTCCGCATCTTACTGCGGATTTCCGCATTCCTCTCGCTGTAATCACTTTCCCTGTGCGCTGTATGTGTTTGAGCACGTGTATATTCGGTATTGGTCTAGCACCTGTTCTTTGTCTTCTGCTTCTTGGTTGCTACAATAGACGTGTGCGAGTGTCTTGGCTTGAAACATGTGGATTTGAAATACAAATACACTAACTGCGTATCTTGCCGTCGTGGCAAACAAGGGGGCTCTAGACATGTGTGTGTGTGTGTGGATAGGTAGGTAGTAAGTAAGGGGATGCGCTAGATTGATTCGTAAATTATACAAGCACAAGCGTACACAAACATATACATGGTTGTAGCGGGAATATGTAGATAATCACGACTGAGTTCATGCGAGTGTGGCGAGAACGAAAAATGAAAAAAATAATAATTTGGATTATAGTTTCCACCCTCCTCTGAGACTTGGGTGAGGGCCTTGGCTTACCTGGCTACTGGGGCTGTGTAGTTAGGCTAGTACATGTTAGTTTGTCTCTGTCACTGTCTCGGGAGGGGCGATCATACACGGCTTCAAAGACCAACCTCTCCATCTGTTCCCCTCCATTACCCCGTCCATTGATTTAGTCATACATATATCATTCCCAGCCTAGCTTATGCACAGCCCGTCCCTGCACGTGAGCAGCAATATCAGCCGGCTGTCCATATATGTGAGTGCGCTGACAGCCAGTAAGACAAAAGGGCACAACCAGCCCCCTCCTCCCAAAAAGAAAAGGAAAGAAAAGAAAAAAGGACGAACTCGGCAAAACAAGAGTGATGGCCAGGGGGGGCGGAGTCGCGGGAAATGATGATGTGCAAGGCATAAAAAAGTCTGTGTATACACACACAGCTTCACCCACACACACACATACAAAGCTAGTATGTATGTGTACACAGATCAAGTACCAGCACCAAAACCCAGGTTTTAGCCAGAGCAAAAGACATTTGATATCTTCTCGGCGGTAAGCCTGTGCCGCCCCCTTCTCCTCTGGCACAACAATGAGACACGCCGAAGAATCTTGGCCCTGCACGAAAAACTCGAATTTACTTTTTTTCTCCTCCCCCTTTGCACAAGTCTTTTTGCTTTTTTCTTGGGACCTTCTTGGCGTGGCTGGCGGGGTTAGCGGGGGGTGCTTCCTTTTTCTTCTTCTTCCGCTTTTCTTGTTGTGCCTTTTGTTTCGGCCGTTTGGGCGCTGAGTTATGCGTGGGGGAAGAGGCCGGGGTGTGTGTGTGTGTAATCCCCCCTCCCCCATAACAAAGAGGGGTACATGCATATTGTGATGCGCGATGCGATGCGATACGAGAGAAAGAGAGGATGTGGTTTAGCTGATGGATAATGATGAGATATGCATGTTGCGTGTATAAGCACATCTAAGCTTTTGTCCCCTTCCTGTCGGGCCAGGGTGGGTGCGTGTGGTGTGGTGTGGAGAGAGCGAGCGATGGATCTAAGATTCCGTCGCTGCCTGTTTGGGCGAAGGCCCTGCGGGAAGAGTGGGGAAGGTCATGTTGCCGTTACGAGGTACTTGGTACTTGGCTTGCGGGGGCCCGCGGTGCTTTTACCAACCAACATGGTCACATGGCACACACACAGACGGAGAAATTACACCGTGCAGACAAAAAATAGGGGGAGGAAAAGTGTCATGGCATTCCAATGTCAATTTAATCTGATCTGAACACATCTCGGCCATTTTGTTCCCAGGCTAAGCCGCCACCCATTCCTCCAAGTGCAAACGCCTGTCCATGCGTCCCTAACCAACGGGCGAGGAGCAATCTTTTTGTGATATGTATACTGACTTTTCCAAAAAAGAAAAAACAAGAGAAAGGTATCGTGACATCGTAAACGCCCATGCAGTCTGTTTGCCCTGCTGCACTGAAACTCCATCGCGGTCAGCTCGCAAGGCGTGCGTGCTGTAACCGCCCCTATTGGACCAAACGTCAAAAGTCGAGCAAGAACCGCCTAGTAGATGTTGGACAGGAAAGCCGATCGCTCAAAGCTCATCCGCCTCTGGCGCTCGGCAGCGCTCATCTCCTTAAGACCGCCCGCCGGCGGCGCATACTTTGCATTAACCGCAAGAGGAGCGAATATCTTAGGGCCAAAGATTGGCGAATGGAAAGTGTTTGTTGCGGGCGAAGATGGCGGGCTGATAGTGCTAGCCTCGGAGGGGGCTGTGACACTGGACAGGCTGGAGACGGACGAAATGGACTGGTGACGTCCGCTAGCCGGTCGGTTGGAAAGAAACCCGTGAGCAGACACGACGGGCTCGGCGGCAGCTGGAGCGGGAGTGGCTTTCTTGATGGGGGTGTTGACAGCGAGAAAGTCTTTTGGGAAGGGAATGTGGTAGGTTGGCCTAGTGGAAGACATTGCGCCAGCGTGGATAGCAAAGTAGTGGGTGGAGTTTGTTTGAAAGCGCTATGGAAGCTGAAAAAGAGAGCCTTGTTGGATCGAGGTAGTGTTGGTGTTTTGCCGGTTGACCGAGAAGGTTGGGCCCTCTTTATACGCGACTCGACGGCTCGAGGTAGTCGATGAAGTATCAAATCTTGTGTCGTCTGTGGGTACGACGGTAGCGCTGCCAAGCCAGTTCCGCTGGGCTTTGCAGGTATTGACTGGTCTTGGTAATGGACTAGCTGGCCTTGGTGATCTACAAAAAGCAACTGAGACGCTTCTCAGGAGTGCGGACGCGGGGCTATTGGTGGCTCAGATGTGGCAAATTCCGCTTAGCATAAGAGATGCGGTCCCGGAAACAACGTGGGGCCTTGGGGTGCAGCGCGGGATGTTGCAGCTACTTCCGCACGCTTGGTCTTGGCAGGTGAACTGTGCTGGATGCCAGTGATAGTATTGGTCCGGCGGACTAGCGGGCTTGCGGTGCGAGCGGCCTTGTTGAGTGACTAGACTACTACAAACACGTGCGTGTTTCGACTGCGTAAGCGTCCAGGTGCGTGAATGTGTATGATCGACGAATTCTGATGCTGTCGGTGGAGTCTAGAGAGCTTGGCGGGCGTGGTGTACAAGCAAGAGCGTGTCCGGCGTCCGTGTTTGTGTGTCCCGGGGCGCTTAGGGGATATGAAGACAGGCAGGGTGTCGTGGGCGGTCACAATGTTTAGGATTGCGATCAGTCGGGCGAGTAGCAAGATGGCTTGGCAAAGTTTAACGTGTTTGACGGAGCGGAGTGGGAGATTGGGAGTCGACAACAACAAGGGACGCAGAAAGTTACGACGAGTCGAGCATTTAAGAATGGGCGCCCAGATAAGATTCTTCGGCACTCTCGGTCCAAAGGGCGGTCGGCGGGCCTGGGGGCGACGTGATGCGAGACCAACGCGACGCCAAAGGCGCTTGAAGCAGACGCGGCCTGTGAGGCATGCACGAAATGTGGACAACTGGGATGCAAGCCTCGACGCGCAGTCCCGCTATCTGCACGCTGCGGGCCCCCTTGGTCGGTCCATAGTGGTTAGAGACTGAGGCGAGTGGAGCAGACAGGTGAGCATAACCCAGCACGTTGCTGTAGCTAGCCCGCTCGGTGGCTAGCCCTCGTGGGGAGCTTCTGACCAAGCAATGGCCGCATGGAGTAAGAGAATGACGCGACGCATCGCCGTCGCAGGCTGGCCTGGTGTCATAGGCCGCTTTCTGCTCGTCCGGGGAGCTGAGCACGCGAATGGGCTTGCATAAGACAGCGCACATCTCAGTCTCGGACGGCCGGCGGGTGCCCATGTGATGGCTGCTTGCTGGTGAATGGCCGTTCCTGGGGGGGCGTCTTGGTCCTAGCCAGTCCGCGAAGGGCATGTCTCGCATCATGCGGGGGTTGACCATGGGCCGCCGGCGGATCCGCGCCCTTGAGCCTTCTCGCCGAGTCGTGCAGGTGTACTGACACTGGTGCCGTATTGTGGTAAGCCGAAGATAGCCTGGGAGCCACAATGCCCTGGAAGAGAGGGGCGTTCATCACCTGCGCCCGTGGTGGTGCGCGCCATGGCGTGACGGAGAAAAAAAAAAGAGCATGTGTGTGGGTTGCGGCGGAGACAAGCGATGGATGGCATTTGCGGTCGGAACTTGCCTCGACGCGTCATGTGACCCGCGCGCTATCTTATCTCCGTTGCCTCAACACCCCAACAGCTGCACACCCACACCTTCTCCATCCAACCAACCTACCCACGACTCAGCTCCAGATAACTCGACTACGCCTCATCCATCCGGTTCTTTCCTCGGCCCCCACCCATCCCTGCCTGCACTTGCACCGGACTCGTGCCGAAAGCTGCACCGGCCATCTCTCCTCGACGCCTGCTCCGTCTACTTGCAACATGTTCATTACGCATGCCATGCCAAAATACCGTGGAGCGGGGTAGAGCCTGGCTGCCCCCCGATTGCCACGCTCGCGAGATCATCTTTCCCCTACCTCGACATTTGACAACGATCGGACCACCTGTCTGTTAGCACAAGCAGCCGCCCTACAGCTATCCAGCTGGTGGTGTGCGAGTACAGCCAACTGGACCACGACGCTTCCGGCCCATCCGCGTCAGCAGAGTCGCAAACGCTCGAGTATCTTTTCTCACAACGACGTCATTTAGCCAGGCTTCAGTTACGAGCCAAGCAAGCAGGAACCACTGTATACGCGCCAAGCACTAAGTACAGGATAGATCTAGATCTACCTGCTTAAAAAGGGCTACGACAATATCGACATGTGTATACTTGCTCCGGCGCCCCCAGCCCACTTTCCAAAAAAATCCCCCAGGGTCTATTTATCCTGCACAGCAACCGGTCAAAGCGGCACTAACAGCGGGAGATGCACACTAAGAGACGGTGGAACAAGCGGTGTGACTGGGTCCGACTTGACTTGTACCCCAGCCCATGTCGCCCACCCCACACTACGTCTGCACATGGTCCGGTCAACGTTGCGGAGTATCGCAAAGACTTCAGAAATGTTGTGTCTGGGCCCTGAATCCATTTCCAAGTGTGCTGCTCTGGTCTCTGTTCAACTCACTAGAGCGGAAGTACACGCGGGCTCCGGTGGATTCTATGGCATACGCACTACCTTTACAGCTAGCTGCCGGTGTCTACTGCGTGGACGCGAGGGGCACATGTGCACAGTGGAGCAATGGCGCCGCTGAATCTACACAGCTCGGTTGACTTCGCCGGAATGTCACCAAGCGACGGCGCTACATCAAGCCAGTCATAAGCGCGCCTCCATTTTTGTAATGCCCATGGTGATATCATCAAGCAGTACTCTCGTTTGCCGCGGGCGGGACCCAATCGTACGCTCGTAACTCGCTTCTTTTTCTGCTCCAGGACACAGCAGTCGGCTCACCTTCCACAGCCCCACGCGCGACACGACCCACAGAGAACCAGCTGCCATTGCTTTGACGTGGGTTACACTGCCACATGTTAGACAGGTGGGCCGCTACTTACGACACCAGATGCGAAGCGTGGGCATCTTCCACCGAATCTTGGGTACACACGCTAGACGGAGAGGCAATGGCATTCTGGCGTCCCGTTCCGTTACGCCAACGTGGTACGTCAACAGCCTGTCGCCCTCCATGCACGTGGGGGCGACTCCTACTAGGTTGGTCCTCGGAGGTCACATGCTCAGCCTGCTATGCAGTTATAGGGCAAGCCGCCGGTTTGCCACTTCACGTATTCCATTGCCTCGTGATGGCCTAAATAAACATAGTTGGTGCTGGTCCCCTTCTGTCTGATTTCATATATAGTGTCGTTTCAATTTTTCCAGTCTGAGACTAAGTAATGTGACCGACAAGTTACGCTCGACCATCTCCTTCTCGGTGGTAATCTCGGTTTGTCTTCTACTCATGCCACAAGAATGTCGACGCGCACCGTTGCGGTCAGATATGTGCTTACAAGGAGACTGGTGGAGTTCTACTCTATATATAACGAGTCAGCACTAGGATGGCTAGCGTGGATTTACACCCTCATCTTTCCAAAGCACTATATGTGAAACGACTGCGGATGCTGCGTTGCGTGTCATTTCACATAGCATACGAGCTATGCACAGGCATGTACTATTTCTATTCTACTCTGTGTTCTTCACAGCAGACTGGTATGATATAGACTGCTGCGCTTTTTCTGCAAGTATGATATTAGCCAACCATGGCAACACCTTGCTTGAACAGTCTATGAGATTGTGGATGAGAAATTTTACGCTGGCTAAAACTTGCTTAGTCTTAATTGATCAGAATCACATCTGTTTGGAGAGTACGATGGAGATGAACGATATAGTCACAGCAAGGAAGCTGTCACGACAGTGCAGCATAAATGGCACGGTAGCAATTGCGCTGGCCGTTTTCTTTTCCGCTCTCTCTTCTGTTTCTCTTCTTTCGGCCTCAAATAAATAATTCTCTTTGGAAGCCGTAGTGTTGTCTCGACCTATTTAGCAACCTTCATGGGGTGACTGGTCGCATCCAAAACAATCTTATGCTGATGTTCCCTCAGCTGTCATCCATGAGGTGTATCAAGACTAGCCGCCGATGCTCATTCGTACTTCATAGTAGTCATACCTTAACACACACATTGGCTCTTCTTCCTACAGGCTGCGCAAAGCCAAGACCATTCAACTACACTAGCTACTCTCTGATATCCGATCACGTCAATCACTGCTCGAACCACACAAACATCCAGCTCACCATTCACCAGCATAGTCTGAATCACCATGGAAACTTCGCGGCGACCCACTTTTCATCGCGCAGCCTTGCTTTGCCAACCATCGTTCATGTTCACGGCATCAACAAACGGCCTCACCATCACCACGAGCGCGTCTTCTGCGCTAAGCTCGCGCAGGAGAATTCATGTATAAATAAGGGCTGGCCTCTAGGAAATCTCGTCTCAAACTCTCTACACCCGCCTGGGCTACTTTTCGCTCAGCAAAAAGCATCTTTGTTGTTGTACACTACCAACGCCAACACAATAGCATCATCGTCATCATGGGTGCCGACGAAGAGCCCACCCGCGACGAAGCCGGCGCCGTCAAGTTCGGGCCCAAGAGTAAGTCCAAGAACCCTCACAGACTTGAACACATTCTTTACATCACTAGCCTTGAAGGAAACCCTCAAAGAACTCGATGCCATCAACAAGTCGATCATCAAGCTTGACGAGGAGAACGGTAAGCCCAAGACAGCCACATGGAGAGCCCTCTGGAACCTACTAACGTGATTAGATCCATTCGATGGCCTCCGCAAGACGCTCTTCAGGTTCCTGATGATCCACGAATACTCAGTTGACGAGCCCTTGGACAACACAGTGGTACGTATCATACCCTTCAGCTCCGCTCCCTCACCATAACGAACTAACCTTTACCCCCCCCCAGAAATTACCCGCAGTCCCCACGGAGCTCATCAGTGAAATCGGCGTCCACCTCAGCAGCCGCGACCTACAGACGCTGCGGTACACCAGCAAGCGGTTCCGGTACGGGGTGAAGACGATCTTCGGCAAGGAGCTCGTGAACGCGCAGACGGTGTTCCCGACATATGTAAGTGTAGCTTCTTTCCTGGCGTTGCTGCGTTGTGAGTCTTTCTTCCCGGGCATGGTGGATACGGTCACGCTGGTGGGCGAGGCGCCGCGCATCCACGAGCACGGGTCCGACTGGGCGTGGGAGCGGCTCGAGGATAGCGAGCGTGCGGTGGTGACGCCCGGCGATAGAATGCTCCAGCGCGGTATCAACGCTGCGCATGCGGCGTGGTGCAGTGTCAACGACGACTTTTGCTACTCTGGCGGATACCGCATCTTACTTAGTAAGTCAAGTTCCCCCCTCACACATTGGATAGCGAAGGGGAAAAAAAAGACTGATTCCAAAAAACAACAACAACAGCCATGATGCTTTCGCGCCTCCCCAACCTCAAGACTATCAAGATCCGCAAGTTGAGGGCTGGTGAACACGTTCCCGATGTCGATGGCATGGATGCGCTGCCGGACTTGTCCTTCTACCGCCCCAAGCTGCCTGTCAACGACATCTTCTACGGCGACTGGCAGTACGACACGGTGCACAAGCGCGTTACTGTCTACACGGATGAGTACGGCGAGGAGATTGTCGAGGCCGGTGCGGGACCCCAGGCTAGCTTCATCGACGATGTGGTTGCTGCCATGGGGAACGCGCGTACGAGTGCTGTGCTTGAGAGCATTGTTTGAGGGTGTTGTGATGTACACTCCCTGGAGGAATTGAGGAGACGAATGGGAGAATTGGCTACGAACTGGAGGGGTCTTTGTACGATATTGAGATTGTGGTTGTGGAGGATACCCAAGTGGCGGCAAGACCGACAGTATAGTGGCCAGATGTTAGTTGAGGATGTGCAAGGGGGGAGATGGGGATACGGACGGCGGTTGAAGTGGCTTCTCCATGCGCTTCATCGGACGCTTCTTCCGACGGACAGTTGCTGCGTCAATGCAACAAACAAGTCTTTCGGTCCACACTCAGGTTTCACCCGTCCCCCATCCATCGCGTGCTTGTGCAAACAGGGAAACCTCAACACGTCAAAATGCATACACGTACAATTCCACCAGCCTCAGTCCTCTCCAAACGCAAACATCTTCCAGTTCCTCGCCAACCGCGTCACACCGTCCTGCAAACTCCACCCTTTAACCCTGCATATCCTGCGTACGATATCTTCGAGCCTGATATCCATTTCATCGCCTGCAGTGTGCAAATCGCTCTCGACAAGCAGCATATCATCCGGCACCGTCCTAACCATTTCCTCGAAGCCAGCGGGAGTCTCTTCAAGCAAAGCATCCGAGAGATTGATCGCCGTGCTGAAGCTGGCGAAAATCCTTGCTGGAACCGCCGGGTTCAGGTACTGCTTGAAATTCGACACGTTTCCCGAGTACGAATGCAGACAGATTCTCGGGGGGTAGGGCGTCGTGGGGCGCTGGGTTTCTGCAGTTTTGCTTTGTGAATTCTCGTCTGCCGCGATGGCGGCTTCGGCGGCAGGATGGTCCTGTCCGCGTTTCTTGCGCTCGCGCTTACTCAGGACGTGTTTTTCGTGGCCTTTCCAGAGGCCCGAGAGCACTTCTAGCACTAGCCCGTGGGCCTGCACGCCATGCACACTGACTGCGCGCCCCATTTCCGCCGCGAGCTGTAATTGCAGTTTGAAAATCTTCTTCTGGTGTGCGGGACTGCAGCGGAAAGGCGTCAAGCGGCGACCTTCGCGGCCACCGGGCGTCAGCGTCTTGTCGCGCTTCGCCCAGAGATGCTGGTTTCCGGTCCACGACTCGGGGATGCGAAAGGAACGATCGAGCCCGATTTCGCCGACGAGAGCATACGGGTATTTGTGAAGTAGCTTTTTCGTTTCAACCAGAAACGTGGAAAAGGGCGTGGGATCCGGGAGTGAGAGGTATATCTTGATATCCTCGTCGCTGGGGTTTTCGCGGGCTGGCTGCAGCACAGTCTTGTAATGTGCAATCTTGTCGTCGCCTGTGAGATTTCCCTGCTCTTTCCAGTGGCTCTCACCATCAATGGCGTTGGTGAGATACATTTGATAGGAGAACCAGGGATGCCACCCGAAACACGGCACGATGCATTCATCCCTCGACCATTGCGACGGATCTGGCGATCGAATGCTGTGCTTGTCTGCAGCAGCCGTAACAAGCTGCTGGTCTTCGGCTCTTGTAGCCATGACGGTGAGTGCTCTCGCCTTCATATTCCGTATCGCCTCGATGCTAGACATGGTATCTGTTGGATGACAATGCGCATCGTAGACGCCCAGGTGCCATGGAAAGGCCTCCGCCTTGCTCTTATCTGCCTCCATTTCCATCAAAACAAATCCCGATTTATATTTCTCAGTTCCAACGCCTAGACTCGCAATGTATATGTGTGTGTGTGTGTTTATTTTCGCAATGTCGAGATTGAAAGCTTCGGAAGCGTATGACGTACATGTGAGGCTTTTCGGAATTGCCTTTTCTTTTCCCCGACACGGCGCTTATGCTCATCGACTACACAGACGGGCGCTCCCGGACCGCACGTTCACAACTCCGCTGCACCTCGGCACAACGCACGACGCGTATACCATATGTCGCTACTAAGATAGCTTAGAAATGGGGGGTAAGTTTTCTAGCTGCTAGTAAAAAATCCTAGTATTACTAATTACTTATTATTAGTAAAGCAGCTAACGTGGTTCACAAGTGAGTCGCTAACCCAAGCGAGTCGCTAACGCCCCACCAGCCCATCAACTTCATCACTATAACGCGTGATGTCTTAACAACGCAACTGTCTATTAATATATTCTGAATCTGATCTTTAACTTGCTCTTTTTAACGTCTAGTCGCAACGTGTTTAGAGTGTAAACCGTGCTGCTACTATCTACAACGTCCTACAAAGAACTCTATCTGATCGACGCGCTGGAAAGCGCCCTCAACGCGACTGCGAGCCGAAATCGAAGCGTCTAGATAAGCTAGAAGAGGAGGCTATAGTTGAGCGTATTCTTAAAGAGTCTGCGCGAGGATTTGCGCCTATAAAGCTTGACGTTCGAGTAATGGCTGATAAACTATTGGAGGAGCGTGGTGGCAACCCTGTTGGCAAGAACTGGGTTGACAACTTCGTTAAGCGGACTCCTGAGCTCCGTACGCGCTGGAGCCGTCCCTATGATCACCAGCAAGCCGCCTGCAAGGATCTAGTGGCTATCCAGCGCTGGTTCGACTTAGTCTAGGCGACAAGGCAGAAGTGGGGTATTGTGGACGACGATATCTATAACTTTAACGAGACTAGCTTTATAATAGGCAAGATTTTATTATAGTTAGTTATTACAGCATTAGAAGGATATAAGAAAAAGAAGCAGATACAGCTAGGCAACTGTAAGTAGGTTACTGTGATCTAAGGCGTGGGCGCGTTAGGTCGCTAAATACCACCCTTCGTTGTCTTTGCGGGCAAGGTGCTTATTAACGTCTAGTTTAAGGATTTGCCTGCTAACTAGGTTCTTAAAGTTAGTCTTAATAGCTGGACGAATGATTAGCTTAGTCTTGCCTAGTTAGAGCACTTTAATACCTATACAAAGAGCTCTACTATAGGTGGGTATTAACTGCTTATTATTAATGGCCATGAGAGCTACTGCTCTGTCAATTTCTAAGATCTTTGCAAGGAGAAGAATATTGTGCTTCTCTGCATGCCTGCGCACTCGTCTCACCTATTGCAGCCCCTTGACGTCGCCTACTTCTCGCCGTTGAAGCGCAAGTATAGCGACGCTATTTCAGGCTTAGCACGCAACCGCACCCACTATATCAGCAAAGAGACCTTCCTACTAGCCTTTAAGACTGCTTTTGAGCAGTCTATCACGAAGGAGAATACGGAGGTGCCTCACAAAAGTTTTGTCCCACGCTAATCTCGGCGCTTCGGCATAACTCTTCTTGGCGCAACTCCCACCTTTGAGCTGAGTAGCTGTACGATTTGTCTGTATCTATCGTTACAATGTCTCCTAATACTGATCCTTACACCCGCACCTTAATTGTGGCGTTAAAGTCACCTTCTGTTGGCAAGTCTACATCACAGATCTCTG